GCAGACAGCAAGGCGGACGGCAGTAATACAGTAAAAAAAATTGGCTCTTCATCTCTGACTGGTTGGCCACCGCTGGACTAGAGCATGGCCCTCGTGAGGAGAAATGTGTTTTTGTTTGTTCGTTTGTTTTGTTTGGGGGGTTTTGGAGTGAGCAGGGGTGAAGGTGTTTTGATTGTTATTGTGTTGTGTTGATAAAGGCACATGAACCCACACAGTGACAGAGACTTTATATAGACTGCTAAACTCAGCAATTTTGCCCTTACAATTGTTTTCCTTTTTTTTTTTTTTTAACGAAGGCAACAATATTCCATGAACCAGCATGGACAAATCTGTTTACTTTGTAGTTATATAAAACACATAGCTCAATTTGTAGGGATCATTTTTCCATTGAGGCCCCGAGGGGAATAGCTGGAAAAGGTGGCGGGCAGGGGTGGGGGGGCCAGTAGCATTTTCTGTGCCCTTGTCTTGGTTCTTGCGGTGTGTAAGTCCTTAAGAGTGGGTATTGTGAGTTTGTCATTTTTTTAACGTACCAATAATTTTATCCATTTCGTGTTCATACCGATTAGCCCTTGGATTTAAAAATAAAAATTCTATTGAACTTTTTTCTGAAAATCAAGAGTACTTCACATTACTTTTCTCAGTTTCAAGTGTTTCTGTGACCTTTGTGAGTTTGTCAGTTTTTGTGCCGATAATTGTATCTATTTATCTTGCTCATGTGTGCTCAGGCTATATTAAGCAGATTTGAGCAAAGAATGGCTGGGCAGGTCTGAAATAACTTGGCTAATTATTTTTACGGAAAGAATAGTGGATAGTCAAGTAAGTGACAGTGACGTGACAGAGAGCAGGATGCGGAGTAGAAGGAAGGGTTAGAGTTTTACAACCTCACAATCTGTGAGTATCCCTCAATCAACAAATGCAGCATCACTGTCAAAAAGAGGTGAGGACATTGAAAGGGAAGCAGTTTTGGGGTGGCATTGAGTCAATGACCTGGTGAAACCTGAGTGAATATCCTACAGTCAATTGATTTACACTTATGAGAAATTTTGCAAAAAACTTTTTACTTGTTCGTCTTAATGGACTGAATGATATATACTTGCTTTACCCCGAGTTTCCACTTTCCTGTCATGATTTTAACTATAGTTACATAACAACATACAGTATTTTGTGATATTTTTTTTTTTCCGGCAGTTGCAGTCTGTCCTTTTAGACGTGAACATACTTTGGTCACATCCGTTCGGCTCAAGGCAACTACAAAGGTTGTACTGTGGACCTCGTGAACCAGTAGCTTATTAATTTGCCTAATGTTAGATGTTTCTGAATAAAGTTAGTGAGGCTGCATGAAAATATTTTTTCGAATATTTTCAAGAGCCATGGTAGTAGTGATATTGGTCTGTAATTTGGGAACAGATGTCTGTCCCCACTTTTATAAATACAAATGACTTTAGCTGTTTTCATTCTTGATGGAAAGATACCAGCTTCGAATGACAAGTTGCATATGTATGCGAAAGGTCGCACTACATGTTCTATAATCTTGTTTTAATATTGTCATATCATAAATAATCTACTTCAGATTAATGAGACATTTTTTTGCAATTCACATGTGGAAATGGTGACTAACTGATACTAATTATCACAGATAAGGCTCCTTCGTGGCGTTCAACAACAATGGCTTGTTTTCCTTTTGATCTTGGCTAAAAATTCCACAAATTTAAGCGCATTCATCACCGCCGTATCATGACCTTGAGTCGAGATTCAAACCCAATAGGCAACAGTTCCTAGCCACTTACCATCACTGAAATTACAATAAAAAAATCTGCACGAACACATAACAGTGAAAAGTACATTATTCTGGTGACTCCTTTACAAATGAGAGTGTAAGCTGAACATGATGAACCTGCACTTTTTTTTCTTTTTCCCATGATATAAGTCATACTACATGGATATGTGTGCTGCAGGCCACACATCACACTCCCGCCAAAGCGCCTCAGAATGAAAATGCTTCTCAATGGGCCCGCAACCCTTGTGAGGATAAGCGGATCAGAAAATGGATGGATGGATGGATAGTGAGCCAATATCGGCCCTCCAACATACACAACAGGCATGATTGTGCTTATGCTAGAAGACCATAAGTGATCATTTATGAGCATTATTGTTTTTTCGACCTTTCACAATGATCATAAACACTAATCCTCAAAAAATAATCATGTAAATCAGCAGTATATTCTGAGCAGCATTCCGAGGGTGGGTGCCCAATCCTTACGATAACAGCAATTGCTGCCCTAATGTGATGTCCTTCCATCCATCTATCCATTTTCTGATCCGCTTCATCCTCACAAGGGTTGCGGGGCGTGCTATCCCAGCTGTCTTCCGGCAGTAGGCGGAGGACACCCTGAACCAGTTGCCAGTCAATCGCAGGGCACACAGAGACGAACAACCATCCGCATTCACACACACACCTAGGGACAATTCTGAGTGTTCAATCAGCACAGCAGCAGGCATGGGGAGAACATGCAAACTCCATACAGGAAGGCCGAGGCCAGACCTCTGCACTGTGAGGTTGACGCGCTAACCACTCGATCACCGGGCCGCCCTAATGTGATATGTGAATCAGAATTACAATCTTTATTGTCAATGCACAGTTGCAGTACATTGTGCTCAATAGAGACATGCAGTTCAGTTCTGATAAACCCGGTTTTGTTTATCCAACATCAATTTTCTTCCATTTATCCGGAGTCGGGTCACAGGGGCAATAGCTTGAGCAGGGTAACCTTGACTTCAGCCAGAACAAGGATTTATTCTTTACGCACCAAGAGGTGCAATAACCAACCAGGATTCTACCTTTTACCACAATATGATGTGGGATTCTTGACAGCATAAGTCATGTTCAACTAAGACAACAAAAACTATGTCAATAGAAGCAGAAGTTTCAAATCCGATCGGACATGTTCGCTATATCCAACACAATTTTAGGGAACGGAGATTTTGATTTAAATTTTATCATATACAAGTCGCACCTAAGTATGTCCCAGGACCAACCAAACTATGGAAAAAGTAGTACTTCGGGAAAAATGCAGTAAGTATGATTTGAAGTGTGTGACTATAACTTATAAGATCCCCTTTAGGGATGGGTGATAGCAGCGATTTTGGATTTGATCCAATATTAAGTAATACCTAGGCCAAATATCGCAAGCCAATATCCAGACCGGAAGTGATTTTTAAATTAATATTTTATACAAAGAAAGAATGTGCGCTGTTGCTGCGCTCACACCAATTGGGGGAGTTCAGGAGGTTGCACACATTACTTAAACCAAACTACTTTAAATTATTTTGTTAACCTTTCCAGATCACTGTGTGGTGTAATACATCACGGTGCACTCTTAAATATAGGCAATGCAGTGGTTTTACGGTTTTATTTGGTTACTTAGTACGTTCTGAATGATTGTTTTTCACCAAATTAAATGTATAGCATTCTCTCACAATGCAAATTCAGCAGTGCAAATTTCTTTGTATGGAAGACAAAAGAAAGACTGTACCGCCATATGTATGCGGGCTGGATGATTATGAAAAATACTGTAATTGCAATATTATTTCCCCACAAAATTGCGATTGTGATTAGATTTTGTCTTTTTTTTTTCACGGTCCTTTTCTAATGTATTTTTCAACCATTCATATTCATTACGACAAACAATATGAGATGTATTATACACTATAGGATACTAAGTTAATGGCAAATAAAGCATTCATTAACATGAAAACTTTTTTTTAAACTGTAATTACAGGTATTAACTTACTAAATAGTTTGATGTACAGTTTGGTAAGTGTTCACCACAACATAATTTGGCCACACAAGTGGTGTAAAAAATGTATATGAGGCTGTGAATCAATCGGGCACTCGTGCAGATTGCAATAATGCAAAAGATTCAGTAGCTTACCTTCCTACATATAACTTTGTTCCACGAAACATAACATGTAAATGCAAACTGCACTTCTCATTAGACGGAAAAATTAATGAAACATGCATAAAGTAGGTCTGAATATATATTAGTATAGTAGCATCACACACGCTAACGGTTAGCAAGTATCCGATAATGCCTGCTTATGACCTAACAGGCATTACAACTGTAAGTTGAAAGGTTCGTAGTTTTGTAGTGGATATCTCTACTTTAAAAATGGGCGAAGGAGAGATGGAATCCTTCGTAGGCAGCTTTTTATTTTCCCACGTCCGCACCTCCGAACGAACGAACGAGAACACAACTCCTTCCTTCCCGATAACACAAAACACTTCCTGGTTTCCTGAACCAATCAGATCATATCAACATAAACTTGTGTAAGCAATTATTAAACGGAGTATAACCTAGGTAACTGTAACACAAAAGAATATAATTCTCAAATATAAAATGAAAATAATTAATCATTTAACATAAGCTTACACAACTCTTTGGCGTCTCATCGTTCAAATGGTGAATTTACATATTTTCGTCAGCCGTTGGGCTCATTTATGACACTTACGGCCGAATTTATCATCGTTATGTCTGACCGCTCGACCACTTTGCAAGGATCGCGTTCTAATTTGTCAGGGCTCAAGTCGCCGTGTGTGTGCTCAAACACCAGAGACACGTAAATCAAAAGTCAAACAAATAAATACGTGGGCAGAGACACATCCGACAGCCATCTGACAGTAGTTCCACACACACACACGCACGCACGCACGCACGCACGGGTTCCACACACACACACGCACACACACACACACACGCACGCACGCACGCACGCACGCACGCACGCACGCACGCACGCACGCACGCACGCACGCACGCACGCACGCACGCACACACACACACACACACACACACACACACGCATACGACGGCAGCTAAAACATGACAAAATACACAGCAAAAATACACTCTGAGGGCTTTTTTCACACACTGGGTTTTGTTTTGTTTTGTTTTTAACTTGCAAGGTGAAAAAAAATCAAGCATGTTATAAATAGTTACCTCTGTGTCTTGTGAGATGTAAAACCCACTGAAAGTGAGCACTTGTGCCTGCTGTGAAACCCCTCCACGCCCCCTCCTCCTCTTCTCAAGTCAGCTTCACAAAGCAGTAATAAAAGTAAGAGTGGGCGGGAGCAGACGCCAGTGCTTACGTGCACGCAGAAGGCGTCAGGAAAATTGTGTTTGTATTTCAGTAAATATGTACAAAAAGTAGAGATGAAGAAAATATAGGGAATTAATTGAGACTATCGATATATTAGCTTGAGGATCGATATTTAAAACTGAGGCCTCTGCATCGAAATATCGATATATTGGTATCAATCCACCCATGCCGAATAGGTGTGAGAAAAGTATTGTTAAATTGGTAAAATTGTCTTATATATGCGGCTCAAAGTAAGTAAATTGTAATTGCTGAAATACTTTTGTGACGGGATTTGGCAACTGTTTAACGTGAACCCCTGCTGGTCTGAGTGATTAGCGATCACTTTTGTTGAATTTGTCAAACAAGGCTGAACCAATTCCCTTACCTTTTGCTCATGACTGTAAGCCAGAATCCAGTCCTCTTGCTCGGGATGGAAGAGGAGGCTCAGGATATAGAAGTTCAGCCGGTATTTCTGGTATGTTGCTCCTTCATCAGAACTGATCAGAAGACTGTTCTCCACTTCAGTATCTGTTAAGAGCATAATCTTTGGAAAGAATGAGACATAGCACAGAATTTTTAAAAAGGAAGGTATCCGCCCAGCCATCCATTTTCTACTGCTTGCGCTTGTTTGCACATGTGCTTGCACACACGCGTGCATGCGTCTTTCCAGCTTGCCATGGGCTCATAGAATGTCAGTGGCCGTTTATAGTGATAGTTAACCATGATGCATGTGAATGGTGGGTGTGATGCCCACACCATTGGACAAGCTCCGTGTGGACATCATTTAGGAGTAAACTAATACAATTTAACATATTTGTTCTTTTTGAATGTTGGATAAGGCTCAGTTTACTGTGTAATAATATACAAATACAGAGAGCACGCCCCACTGGCCCAGTTTTCCTTGATTTCTTTTTACATTTAAGTTTACGTGTCTGTCATAGTTTTGCACTTAAATGCAGTGTGAATATTTTCAATTTCAAATTTTGATACATTTTTATTTCTCATCATGTGGCAAGCTGCAATCTGTTGAGTTCAACTAAATGCCGTCCTTCAATCCATTTTCTGATCCGCTTCATCCTCACCAGGGTCGAGGGGCATGCTGTAGTGTAGCCTATCCCAGCTGTCTTCGGGCAGTAGGCGGGGGACACCCTGAACTGATTGCCAGCCAATCGCAGGGCACACAGAGAACAACCATCCGCACTCACACACACACACCTAGGGACAATTTAGAGTGTTCCATTAACCTTCCAAGTATGTTTCTGGGATGCGGAATGAAACCGGAGTACCCGGAGAAAACCCACGCAGGCACGGGAAGGACATATGCACCTGCACGATTGCTTGGTAAACTCCACACAGGAAGGCCGGAGCTGGAATGGAACCTTGCACTGCTGCATGCACTGTGAGGCGGACATGATAACCAGTCGACCACTGTGCCGGCACAGCAATAGTATTAGAAGCATACTTTACACTGTAGATAAAAATATTTTAAAATTCTTAATGAATTTGCTGAGTAACTCATTACTTTTACAAGGCAGTAACTGAGAGAGTAACCCATTCACTTTTGGGAAGAAGTAACTCTAACTACTGGTAATTACTTTTTAAAATAAGGTGCCTGAGCTGGCAGGAACCCCTCCAACATGCCAACAGTGAAACATATTACCTCAGTGGGTGTCTAGTCTACACTGGACTGTTTTTAACCTCAAATAGTAATAAGAATGCACTTCAAGCTGCCTTCATTATGTTAAATGAGTAGGAGTAATCAGGCATTTGCAGTCTTAAATTACACAGCACATACCTGTACATTGATTTTGTGTGTATTTAGTTTTATTTTATAAATATGTTGGGTTTTTTTTTTGTTATATCACTCCATGACAAATCTTCAAGTGGGCATCTCTGTTCTTTTTGTTAACAAATGAAAAAACTGATCACCTGATAACAATCGGTAAAGTATTGGCAAATACTCTTGTTTATGAAAGCAAGGTACAGTATATATAAACAAAGACAAATCAAATTAAATAATAGTACTTCTTTACATCCGCTTGATAAATTGAATGATATTAAATTAAGATTGCAGAATTAGCAAGTGGCTGCCTGTAATACTAAAATATAAGATGGGGATCTGTGTACTCAAGTGGAACAGCCTTCTTTTTCTTCTTTTTTTTTAACTGACAGCACATCATAAATAAGACTATGGCTACTTGATTCACTGAATATTCATTAAACACAAGCTAACGCTACCATTATGTGTGCCTTTAAAGCACATCAAAGCAAAAGCTGTTGCGGACTCTTTATCTTACTGCTGCATCGTTGAGGTGCTACCAGATGTTTGAGCTAGTGGATGAAACAAACACAGCTCTTTTGATGTTTAGGCATTTACTGTCAGGGCTAATGGAACACTGCCTAACATTTTAGCTTACCCAGACCGCTTCCACACCTGAGAAACATACCTCCTGCCTTTCCCTCTACGTATTTGGGTTGCTTTCTCATTTTGAAAACGACTGAATTAATTGCAGGGATGGCTCTCCACCTGGGGTAGGGCCACTATAACTCTGACTACACCAATTTCCGTCAGAAATGGCTGTAGCCGGAGCTGAGCCTCTCCAGCATTTAATTTGATGTTTTAAATGTACGTATTTGTTTTTCTTCTCAGCCCCCTTATGTGTCGATCAAGCCCAATTTAGCCCTGGGAGAGAGAAATTCCTGGAGCCGATCGATCAAGAATCAATTTAGCCCTGGGAGAGAGAAATTCCTGGAGCCGTGCTTGATAGAGTGTACTGTATACTTTATGTCCTTTACATGGTACATATCGTAAATAACTCATTCACATAAAAACCAATGTTTACCAGTTGTAGCATCTGGCTCTTTGCATAAATTTAGTAATCCATCGGTGTGTGGGGAAAATGCCGGTGTTTATTTTAATTGATTGGCAAATCATGTTTTAGTCACTGCTTACAGCCATTCAATTGGGTTACTTGAGGCTGGATTGACTTGGCAGTGATTGGACACAGACAGCAATGCTACTAAATACTTTATCTTAGCATACACTTGTGTGTGAAAAGTCAAAATACTGTAGAAGACACTGTCGGTGCTCAACTGGCAGGTAGAGTTGCTGTGATAATAATTGTTTTGTTTTGTTTTGGGGGGTTTTGTCACTGACACAATAACAAGGAAAGAGGGGTTTAATAATTAGGAAGAAAGTTTTCTGTAAGGACTAATAAGTGATACGTGAATAAAGCCCATCTTGACATCCGTGGTGGCAATACACTGCGGCACAGCCGGGATGATTTATTACTCGTGCGAGATGTGGAATACCCAGTACCCAGTATGTGTCTACAGAAGTGGATCAACATATTCCCGGGTCAACGCATCGGAGTCAGCAAAGGGCCTGCCTGGAGGAGGAGAAAGTGGGGGAAACCGAAGTTGAAGTACCTTGGCCCGAGATTCAAAGCCCTCCGTTACCTTTTATTCTGCTCTTCAACGTTAGGTCACTCCGCAATAAACTGGACAAGCTCCATGCTAAAATGTCGTACAAACAAGGATGTGGGATTGATCTGTGTCATGGAAACGTGGCTTGACAGGACAATTTCGGAAACCCAGCTCTCCCTCAGTGGCTTGTCCAACCGGGACATCGTTAACAGTTGTATGAGTCATGGGGCAGGGTCTGTGTGTACACCAACCAGGCGTGGGGCAGGACGCTGCTGTCATTGACTCTTGCTGCACAAGTGATGTGGAAATGCTCGCACTGTCTTTTCAGCCGAGGGACCTGTCCCGCGAGTTTGGTCAGCTCCCGTTAGTTTTGGTGTATATCCCCCTTGTCAGGCAACGTGGCATGCCATCTGAAAATATTGCATCTTGTGTTCAAAAGATTGAGACTGCCTTTCTTAAGTTGCCTGTTTTCGTTCTTTGGGATTCTTGCAGATGAAATAAGACCTTAACTATCACCAGTATGAGACATGTGCCACCAGGGGCGATAAAACAGACGGCCTCTGGTATGGTAATGGCAAAGATGCATATAAAACTGCTAAGAAACCTCTCAGCATTGCAGACCACAGTGTTGTTCAACTTGTTCCAACATACCAAACCAAACTACAGAGAGATGGCGTAGTTAAAAAAACGGTCCGACAGTGGGTAATGATGTCCAAGAATCACCTCAGGGCTGTCTTGTTTGTACAATGTCGCAGGTGTTCACAGAAAGACACACATTAGAGGAGGCTACTGATGTAGTCACATCATACATTTCTGTTTGCCTGGATATGTTGGGCCCCACAAAAACCATCAATATGTTACTAAATAATGAGCCTTGGATAACAAAATAACTGAAAACAACTCTGAATTAAAAGAAAATAATTCAGGAAATAAACTTGAAGGTAAACTCATGCAAAATAGATGCAATAAAGATATTAACACGGCTCAAAGAGCTTATCAGGACAGGGTGGACAGACTTTTCAACTACGGTAAGCCCAGGGATGGTTGGCAGAGTGTCAAAGCCCTGGACGGTCTCTGCTCCAACTCCTCATCACGAGGCTCTGTGCAGAGGTGTGTGTCTGCATGGCCGAGGATCTGAACTTTTACTGCAGGTTTGATCAGTGTGATTAAACACAGGAGAGGGAAGAACTATCTGATGAATTCATCTCTCGGCTTCAGTACGGTGAGAACCTGAAGCTGTCACCCGTGGATGTGGAACGCACACTGCAGCAGTTCAAAATCAAACAAAGCTGACAGGTGTCTTCTGCTCACTATTTAACTGCTCTCTGGCCGAGCACACCATTGCCTCCATCTGGATGTCCTCCATCATCTGCCCCGCGGCAAAGAAGTGCAATCTCAGCTCCAACGATGACTATCGACTTGTGGCATTAACATCCTTGGTCAGCTGCAGGCTGATGTGGGTCTGCTCCCTGACCTACTTCCGTTCGCGTACCATTTTCACGGAGGTGTGGGTGAGGCTGTGCTTACTATGCTGCCCAGTGACATCCCCCAACGGAGAAGCCCAAATCCCATGTCAGTTTAGTCTTTGTGGACATTTCGAGTGCATTCAACACCATGCAACCACACCTCATTAGACATAAGCGGCTTGGGATGAATATCAACCACCACTTCATCCTCTGCGTCCTATCCTTTCACACGGGGAGAGATATAAGAGTGTCAGGGTGAATGGTCACTTTAGCACCGCCAGGACGATATCACCGGTTACCCTTAAGGTATCTCTCCAATTCTCTTCACACTGTACACAAACGACTGCAGGAGCATCACCCTTGAGATAACATATATCAAATACTCAGGTAACACGGCCACTTCAGCGCACCCTCACTCACAGTTAATAATGAAACAATTGAAAACATATCATACAAATATATTGCCTCTGTAATTGACCTTAAGCCAGTGCTTCTCAATTATTTTCTGTCATGCCCCCCAGTCATTTTTGTATTGAAATAAGACTGAAAAAGTGGGGGTCGTCTTATATTCGGGGTCTAGACATTATACCCATTTATGACGCTAGATGGCGTCAGATATCATTGAAGCGAATGCTGAACTTGACTCCCCAGGCCAAAGTGAACCCCTGTCACGAAGAAAAAAAATAAAAATAGCGGTAGCACGACTAAGAAAAATAAAAAATAGCAGTAAGAAGGAAAAGAGAAGAAAATAATAGAAGAGATAACAATAAATGGAGAAACGTAGTGACAATCTGGAGAAAAGTGGGTCGAAGATCAGCCAGGCTAACCGGCAGCTGAGGAGAAGTTATGATGTAATTTACATTTCAAAAACCAGAAGCCAATTATTTACGAAAGTGATTGCACTTTAGTTTACTTATTTAAATGTTCAGATATTAAGATTTGAATGAGGCAAAATAACATGCTTTTTCTCTCAAATATATTGTTAGAATCATTTATTTCAGATGTACTGTAATTAATTTCTGCATAAAAATTAATTTGGTGTTCAAAAAATCTTTTTTCAAACTTGAGTCTTGAAAAAGAGGGCATCGTCTTATAATCAGGGCCATCTTATATTCGGGCCAATATGGTATTTTAGTTTCCTGAAGTAGCAGTCACAAAGCGGGATGATTGTTGGCAATATTCGGCACGTTTTAGCTGAAAAAAGTCAAGCGGCTTATCAGCGTGATTGGGGTGTAATGTCTGACGCCTTAATTTATTTGGCTTCATGCTGTACGCTGCCAACATTTTTGGACAGAGTAAGCACACTGGTCTTTACTCGTCTCCCACCGTAGTCACAGTGAAGCCAAGGGCTACATACGCTTCGTCATATTTCCTCCCTTTGAATGCTTCCTGCACACACTCTGCCAATGAGAGCGCCACTGCCCCCTAATGTAGTGGAGGTGCAACTGCACTTTATTCTAGGACAGTAAAAAAAATCAAAATAAAAGAATGAAAAAGCATGTTCCCCGAGGTCAAACACGCCCCCCCTGACGAAGCCCCCCCCCCTTCCGGGGCGGGGGGCGCCTCACTATTTGAGAAGCACTGCCTTAAACTCACATTTCATCTGAACACTGAATATATTTTCTCAAAATGCCCATAGCGTCTCTTCTTCCTCCGTAAGTTCCGCAACCTTCAGGTTCACCATTCCATACTCACTGCCGATGATAAATGTTTTGTTGAATCTGTCCTCATGTTTTATATCATCACCTGGTTTGGGTCACTTATTCTTGGAAATGGAAACATGCTCAATAAAATCATACAAATCTGCAATAAAATTACAGGTCAAGAGCAGCAGTCACTTTCCTGTCATTTACAATAACAGACTCATAAAAAGGCACATGGACATCAACTGACACTTCACACATCCTGCATTCTCACTATGTCCTGTTACTATGAGGGCGTAGGTATAGGTATCTCCTCTGAGAACTAAGAGAGCCATCTCGACCGTTCTCCCCACCTCAATCTGTTGAGTTGAATCACTTTTTATTATATTTATTATTTGGAAAATATAAACTCCCGGTGCCTGCGTGGGTTTTCTCCGGTTACTCCGGTTTCCTCCCACAATACAAAAATGAGCATGGGAGGTTAATGGAACACTCTCAAGTTGTCCCTAGGTGTGAGTTTAAGCATGAATGGTTGTTTGTCCATGTATGCCCTGCTGATTTGCAACCAATTTAGGGTTACCTGAAGATGGTGCAGGGTTCGATTCCAGGCAAAGGCCTTCCTGTGTGGAGTTTGCATGTTCTCTCCGGGTTTTCTCCGGGTACTACTGCATGGTAGGTAAATTGAACACTTTAAATTGTCCCTCGGTGTGACTGTGAGTGTGAACGTTTGTCAATGTGTGATTGGCTGGCAACCAATTCAGGGTGTACCCCGCCTCCTGCCCAAAGACAACTGGGATAGGCTCCAGCACGCCCGCAACCCTCGTGAAAATAAGCGGATTAGAAAATGGATGGATGGGATGCAAATCAATTGTCTTGACCTGTCAGCAATGAAATTCCTACCCTGAAGTCACACTTAGGTTGCCTAAGTGCATGATTGTGAGACTGGGGTGTTTGCTTAAGATATGAAGATCATTTCTTTCTTCTTTTTCAAACCAATGATTGAAAGAGTCATTTTTTGAATTTGTATCCAGAGAAGGAAATACCCAAATGCTCTCAATAACTGCCTCTTCTTTGTTCTGACCAAAATTAAAAAAAAAAAAAATTCATTCATGTTCTCACACAATAACAGATATTGAAATGCTTGCGTGTATATCTTCAGCTAAAATATCATTGTTTATTTTACAACTAATGGCCTCTCAGTGTTCTGAATTCAAAACATACACTTTGTGTTAAATTGTATTTTCACTTTGATTTTGAAATGTTGATAAAAATTCCCTGGTAAAATCTGAAAATACCCAAAGGTTAAATCAAGTTACTCGCTCTGGTACAACATTTGCGTGTGTGAAAAAAAGTATGTTCTTCAAAAGGTTCTTAGGCACCATGTTATCAAAGTTTCACCTCCGATGTTGGTCCTGGAACTAAAAAATGGAAGCTATTTTTACCCCATGACCCACATTCCAACATGCAGATTGCTTGTTGTGTAGAGGTATTTAAATGGTTTTTTTTTTTCGGTTCATTGTAAACTTAGACATTTATGATTTACAATTGGAGTGGAATAATTTTGACAGCAACAGTATTTACAAGAATCCTGGACCCCATGAATGTAAACAAAGTTTCCTCCTTGCATATGCTTTACCAGGTTTTCTATTCTTTATCGAGCATCATCGTGCTTAAAATGGCAACAATTTTCAGTATAATCATACAGTAAAATGACTCATGACCACGTACAATACTTTCATGTTATCAATCAAGATCGGAGTATTTCGAGACCACTAAATGCACTATCCATGTGCAAGTGGTCCTGTGTAGGTGGTGGGCAATGCTGTGGAGTGATCATGTTCCAAGTGAGTCATCATTTAATTTTGAATTTTGAGTGGGAATAAGAAGGAGTTTGAAAAGCCAATTGGTAGGAGCAAAAGCACAACTGATTTTTTTTTTTTTTTTTTTTTGGTTGGCACTTTTAGAGTCATTGAATTCCTGGGGTGTCCAGTGCAGCACCAGCAACCTCTCTGGAAATGCTCATGTTGCTTCCCCAGGAATAATAATAAAATACATTGCTTGACATTAGCATAAGTATAAAATAAATGAGTAGTGTTACCTTTCTTTTGTTGTTTGGGCTCACGTACAAATAACTGAGTATTGTCTTTGCGCCAACTTTGTCATTCAGCTTCTGGTATGTTGCTCCATAGTCAGTTGACCTGAAATTTGAATAGAAAGGTCGGATGAACATTTGAAAAATGACTTGTTGCAATTAACAGTCCCCTTGATAGCAGGGTATGACATGGGTTAAGGCTCTGATATAATTAAGTCCCTATTGAGCTGAACACATCAACAGGATCTCCCGCAGGAGTGCAGTGGCCGCATTTTAATGGCCACCATACTCACTTTCTCTGATTTATTATTACACACAATATGTTCTCCATTTGAGATTTGAATTTATATTTCCAGAATTCAGAGAAGTAATAATACTAGCGGGAAAAAAAAGACGTAAATGTATTTTGAGCACAACTCGAGAAGGCTTGTCATGTATACATACCTTTGTGTTCTTTATACGTCAGTCAAAGGACTCTTCTCTAAAGTACAGAGAAAACTACAAATGCGAATGGCCTTGAGTCAAACAATTTGCAAACTGACCCAAAAACTTCAATGTTATGCACGATGCAAGTCATGACATTTTATCGTAATGAGCATCAAATATTAATCCCACTGGTGTTTTTCACAACATGGAAAAAATAAGTCGACAAGAATAGGAAGGTGTGTGCCTTCTGATTGACTAGCAACCTATTCCAGGTGTAGCCCACCCTATGGACAAAATCTGCCAGTGACCCTGAACAGGTATAAAATACTGATGAATGACGAAAGGCATCTGTACATCTATCCATCGATAGAATTAACCAACTGTGGATATTGAGGTTGATACACCCTTGTTCAAAGACCATGCTTGTGTGATCTGGAAAAAGAAAAAAATTCCACGATTGATGTGACCTGTCACCTGTAAAACTCACCTGAAAAACAGCAACAACAACAATTTCCATTTTATTTTGAAATACACACTGATTGGATGGTTGGAAAGTGAATGGAATCGATAAACTGAACAGTTGATGCATAAGCAATACATTTTGATTTTTTATTTCCCAATGTGCTCCTTGTATGAATACCTTTTCTTTGCCTTCTACGCTGTCTACATGCCAATATAAAGAATATTATGTTCATGCGCTTTGACATGTACAGTGGGGACAGTGGCGGACCCTGAGGGCCAGCAAGGCCTTCTCTGCTGGCCTAAACATTCTCAGAAAAGTAAATTTACTTTTCTGAGAATAACATAAATTTGTTATTTTATTTTCATAAATATGTTAACAAAATTATTCTTTGTATTCTTTACGTCATATTATTTCCACTTAGTTGAGTGGCTTTCAATGTTATTTTAAATAATGCCTCTTGCTTGCAACTGACCGGTGCGTTTAAAAACGTTTGGGGACACTCGCGTAGATCTGCAGCTCGGTAAACAGGCACGCCGGGAGACGGAGCTCCACAACGGAAAAGTAAAAAAAATTAAAAATTAAATTAAAATTATACCAGAAACACGACCGGACAAAAACGGCTTTCAGCATTAGCTTCCATGTCGATAGAAAAGGACTTGCTAATGGACCTGAAAACTGTACAACAGAGCCACTGAAGTGTTCCTGAGAAAACAAAAGAGGATCGACTTTATTTTCAAATAAGCAGACGCTGTGAGAACTACATTGGTGAGTCAATGAATTTTATTTTACATTTCTTCTTGTCATTTTATTTCGTTAGTATTAAATTCATGGTAACGAAATAAAATGACAATGATACAAACATGTATCAAATAAATCTGCTCACCTGCAATTTATAATGGCGCATTGTAGTCACCTTCGTGCACGAAAGTTCGTTCAACCTCAGCTGTTAGTCAGTTATTAGTTTGTCAGTTATGTCAGTTATTTGCTGTTGTATCGTCGATTTTCAAAATGCAAATGATCTGTTTACTTTATTTTCAAAGAACAGTTTGTTTTGTTATTGTTTGGTTGGTGTCTTATATGAAACTGCGACATTGCGCAATTTATTGGACAGACTTGTTTAAGATCACACAGCGTAATTTGGGTGGCATTTTATTTCGTATTTTTAAATCATCTTTTTATTTTTGACAATATCTGTAAATTTAGTTTCCTGCTCTTAATTGTGAATGCATACTTGATGGTTTTAAATGCTCCTGAAATCAAGTGCTGCTTGACGAGCCTATACAGTATTGTGTTCATAATATGTGACGTCACTGAAGGCCTAAGGTTGAAATGCACAGCCGCTACTGAGTGGGGACATATGCTTTTGACCTGGGGCATGTTTTTTGTTTTGTTTTTTTGTCTCCACTCATTCTGCTGAAAGGTTGCAAATTTCCCCATTGTGGCACTAATCAAGATTATCTTCTCATTTTCAATCAAATTGTGGTCATCCTTGCAGGCACTGCATTTCTCTCAAAAGGCAATTTAAACTGCTTTTTTTCCTTCAAATACCAGTACTATGCACACCCTAATCTGGATGTTGAGGCTTAAATTGTATTTATATCAGTTGGTTTCACTAATAAGCACAAGGTACCGTAATGCCTCTTTCACAGACACATCACAGTATAAAAATGCAATTTCTGTTTGAAGTTGTAGTTTGGTCTGTGTAACTCTACTCTTTTCAATGGAGTGGAAACAGATAGCACACACATAAAGTACACCATGTGCTCATTGGCGTTCAGCTATTATGGCTGTAGTTCCTTTTTTGTCCTCTGATAACTACTGAAAAACCACTCAATGTGTTTTGAAAAGCATGGCATTGAATTTGTAAATGGAATTGATGATGGGTAATTTTGTAAGGAATATATAAATACTTCTAAAATGCAGCAAGGAAACTCCTCGGCTGATTTCAAAAGTACTGTAGCCGTTATTTGCATGAGCATTCCTATCGAACTTAACTCCGGCATGAATAAATAGTTTTGCACGTTGTTGCTGTTTGAGAGCCCCGCCAAACACAAAAGCAGACATAATCATGCTATGCTTGCAAACGTAGTACCCCGTTGCATATATCACTGCCTGCTTTCCATGGTGAGGATTCAATTTCCTCAGGGTGACTCCACAATCATCAACACACTGGTCCATGGGACAGTGTCATCAGGTTATTGATATCAGGTTATTGATCTGCCCCTCGGGGGATTGTGTCGACGAACCATTGAGGGTATGACTTATTCTCAGTGTCACTGCAACTTTCACAGTTAACTGTAACAGTCGGAAGTCATCCGATTCCAACATGATGAAAGATGCAATAAATGAAAAGCCGTAGCTTTGTAGGGATAATTCTGATTGAAAGTTATCCACCTAGCTAGCGAATGTTTATTTACTGGTCGTGGATATGTAAGGGTGGACTGTGACTCTGATACTGTATAAGCTTGTGAAATGGAGGTTCATGAAACTGAAATATGTAATGTGATTCTCTGACCAAAATGTAATCATAAAAGAAAAGACACCCATATTCCATTTGTTATACACTGGAACTCTTGTGGCCCTATTTTCATAACGCGAGTTGAGCGCAAGGTGTAGTCTAACCGCACGCATGGGTGGACTTTTATTTAATTTTTTTTATATTTTTGGGAGACAGGTGCAGGTAGAAAGGGGTGTTTGCAAGTGGTCGAAGGTCTGCTGGACATAGTAGTTGGAACTCCCATCTGCCAATGGAATTTTCCACATGTTTCCACAATACTCTAACAATATATTTTGGCTCTGACAGGTGAGCCTGGCATCTTCCCCTACCATTGACCCACAGGCAGTCACATTTAGTTTCACACTGCTTCGGATCATATTTGGTTTTCAATTCAACATTTGCAATATATTTTTCACTGTGCTATTGCTAATTGGAAAATTGTCCATGATCATTCTGTATGCTTATTATTTAGTACAATTGACTGTTTCTTATAACACTGCATTAAAACGTTTTTCTACTATTTACCTCCTGAATACGGTGGCCCTGAATTTCAATTCACAAAAACAAATAGCAAACACAACAGGTGTCATAGTTCTGTTCCATATGTGGCATCGTAGGGCTTCTCCCCCAGCGTCGCACCTGTTGGTCATCATATCATTAGCTCGATTCTTTTAAAAGGACTGCCACACCGACTACTCACTGTCATGGGTTTTTTGTTTGTTTGTTTCTTTGAGTTTGGGGGGTTTTCAGGACTGTTTTTGTTATTGATTTAGTTTGTTCAGTGTGTCCCTGTGTTTTTGTTCATACATTTGGTTCAGTACATCGTGGTTCTCCTGCCGCTCTTCTTTTTCCTCCCCCAGAACCTTCTTTTATTGATACTTTTTTAATAAACATTTACAAACACACAATTGACATAACAACGTGAGCAGGAACTTATTCTGTGTGATATCATTTTTTTGTTTGTTTGGGTTTTTTTTTTTTTTTTTTCAGAAATATGTGCATCCAGTTATTCAAACATAGTTGCTGCTATCAAAGAATATTTTGATTCTGGAAATACACAGGAGGCAATATTGGATATGCTCAGGACTCATCACAACATTCAAATAAATCAAGGCGCATTTAAATGTGGTGGGGCTGCACAGACGGCAAATCTGTTTTACTCTATGCAACAATAACATATCAATCAGTAAACTGAATAAAATACCACAAAGATAAGCTTTTCTAATAGACACAATTTTGAAATGAAGAAAAAGGAAAATGATGAAAAGATGATATGAGAAAAAAAACACCAACGGGAACACTTCGTGAAGGTCAAACCAGAAACAATGAGTGCACCAAAAGTATTAGAAGAGTTCCATACGTATGCATAAATGTACTGGTCCACGTGTTTCTGTGTTACAGATCACAGATATACAGTCGATGAGAGTCGGTCACAGTTGTGCCTATGTGGCCAACATGCTACGAGGGATGACTGTCCAATCAAAGTTCATGGAAATCATCCACGTTAGCTTAGCATGGCCATAGGCATGCAACTAAAAAGGATTGTGTCATTCATATCCATGGCTGTTGTTTACTCGGGCGCTAGTCATGTACTGTCATTGTATCTTGAACATGCTGTCTTTGGTACAGTATATAGTTGTATTTCTTTTTATCCTGTAATTTTTAGGCCAGAAAAAAAGAACAAAATGCTTTACTGTATTGGGTGTTTTTAGGCCACAAAAAGTACTTTAATTAATAATAACCCCCCCCACACACACACTTGATTGTTAGATTGAGGTGCCACTGTTTTGGAAAAATACTGTACTTTAGCATCATTTGACATTGCCTAACATTCTTTTTTTCCATACTCCAGGATGAAAGCTCAATAGTATTATACAGTAAAGTCTGGATATTATTGTTACATTGGCCAATGGCTGTGCAATTGTTTGGGGAGATGGGACTGAAATATGTAAACTTTCATGTTTATCTTAAACAGCAAACTCATTGGCTCTTCTTTGAAGTATCAATAACTTACCTCCACAGCGAGCTTTCGGTAACACTGTTGAGGTTGAAATCAAATAATTTGGTCAGCATCAAAATCACCTGCAAAACAGAACACATTGTAATGAATAAATGTAGAAATGACATAAATCTTTCAAAAACTGCAGCGTATGACAAATGAGGTTCCACTAGAATAAATTGTCTGTGACAGTACTGTGTATACTGAGGTCGCCAACCTTTTTGAAAGTTAAAGCTACTTCTTGGGAACTGATTAGTGCAAATGGCTACCACTTTGATGCACACTTCAGAAATTTGCTAATATGACCTTTAATTAAACTATTGTAATTAGTTAATTATATTCATCTCTGTGAAGACAACAATCATGTTATTGATTCAACAGATACATGTCAATATATAAATACTATTTCCAGAAATCCGGCAAGTGTTTACATTTTCAAATGATTATTTCTACAACATTATTAGGAAATCACAATGTCCCTTCATTGGTGTTTTTTTATTTATTTTTTGTGAGATACTCATAAGTCCGTGTTGACACAGCACATACCTTAATATAAAATACTACATACTACAATAATAGTATAACATTATTCTTTTGGTACAAGAACACATAAACCATTCAGAAAAAAATCGATACATATTACATGTTCACTGTGTGGAAAAAAATAGTATTAAAATAATTAATAATACTGCATGTCACATGCTGTACATGCAGTATGAACCCACACTGCAGCAGAATTGTTATTTAGAACAATTGCTCTGTTGTAAAATGTAATCTTGGCACTAGAAAAACAAATTACAAATTATGAGGTTGTAAAGCCGCCACCAGGGCCCAAAATATGATCATCTGCAGAATTAACTCAGCATGGCTGGTTTAGAGAACAGCTGAAAAGTTGGATTGCCAAAAGCAGAAATCACTCTTTGAGGTGTTCTGAGTTCTTTCATCTTCATATATGTTCATATTTCACAGGGACCAATCACATGCAGTTAAAGATGAAACAAGACTTCAGAATGGTAAAAGTGTAAATTTAGGCTGTACATGACTGATTAAACAAAGCAAGTGTCCCTTTAACCAAGTCCATTTGTTCAACAAAAAAGGCCCTTTGCATATTCATCCATCCATCCATTTTTCGATCCGCTTTATCCTCACTAGGGTCGCGGGGCGTGATGGCGCCTATCCCAGCTGTCTTCGGGCAACACCCTGAACTGGTTGCCAGCCAATCGCAGGGTAAACAGAGACAAAAAAAAACATCCGCGTTAACACTCACACCTAGGGACAACTTAAAGTTCCATTAACCTGCCATGCATATTTTTGGAATGTGGGAGGAAACCGGAGTACCCAGAGAAAACCCAAGCAATCACGGTAAGAACATGCAAACTCCACACAGTAAGGCCAGAGCCGGAATCGAACCCTGCACCTCTGCATTGTGAGGCCAAAGCACCAACCAGTCGACCACCGGGCCGCCTTAAGATATTTAATGATGTAATTAGTAAATGGACAGTGTCAGTTTTGTGTGCAATCCCCCCCAAAATTTAACATACCGGTACTTGTCACAAAGCCTGTCAGTCATGAAGTACATCAGTGCAAATGTTTACTTGGCTATTATACATAGCCCTTACAGTGAAATGCCTTTCAATCCAGACAGATTCAAATTCTCTCTTTGAAAGAATTCCTTCCCATACCTATATTACTAAATACATGAGCATTCTACATTTTATGTGTTTTTGATCAGAATTCAAGTGCAATGTAAATATTCTGTTTACCCCATGGAAGAACTTCAATGATGAAATGTACCCGGTACATCAATTGTTAAGGTATGGTGTACCTTAACACTTTGTGCATAAAAGTTGTTGTATATATGTTAGTTGCTCCATGTACAGCACTTTGTATGCAGCAATGGCTGTTTGAAAGTGCTCTATAAATACAGTTGAGTTGAGTTAAGTAAAAATAACATGAGAATATGCCGTGGAAACAATTAGTGGCCATACTTGTCCAAAAACAAACAAAAAAAGGATGGTAATGCAATATATTCCCTATTGTTCATGATTGCCCTTTCCAGGGGCTGTCTGTTATCGAAGCAGTTTAGAAACTGTCTGACTTGAGTGACTTTGTGAAACACTTCCACCAGCATGGGATTCCTGCGAGTACAAGCTTGACAGATGCACCTCGGGTAGAATTACATTGCTTGGTTGGGGACCGTGTGATATTGCTTATTAAGCATGAGGTAACATCTGCAGTCCCCAAAACACTCAAAACGTGCAGTGCATTTGGACAGCTTTGAGCTATTAAAATGTGTAGGGGGCATAACAGCGTTAGTAAAGGGTGTTTATTAAGAGTGATTGAGGAAGAGCATGTTGTCAGTGTGGGGAGAATTGGCCTGGGGAATGAATAACCTTAAATGTCTAGACGAAACTAGGCGAGACCTTTGCATGCTAATGACTGTCCAAGTGCTTTCAGCTGCCCAGCTGGAGGCTAAATTGTCACTTGGCTCCACACAGCTTCTCACATCCACTGGATCCATTCATTTTCTCCTCCACATGCATCTTTCAAGTTATCCTGACGTAAATTGGCATACAGTGGAACGGTTCAAAAGGTAAATGGTAAATGGGCTGTCACTTGTATCGCGCTTTTCTACTTCGGGTACTCAAAGTGTTTCATGCTGTTATCTCATTCACCAACTGATGACGCAGCATCAGGAACAACTGGCGGTTTAATATGTAGACAAATGCCCCAAAGGTTATCCAATTAGGAATCTGACCTGGATTGTCTGGGCCGAGCATCCAAACATGCATTTAAAGTTGCACAAACCTCCAGAGTTCAAAGCAAAGTCTTGCATGACCTAATGCATGCTGTTAGCAAAGGTGGGCGCGCCGGTAAATTTTGTCGTCAATCGCTAGCGGCCGGGCCACCCATCCGTCTTCGTCACTTCATCATTATTTCAAGCCGAACTAAAGTGTAAAATGTCAGTCCATCATCGTTATTTTAACTGCACTTCCGTCATCCCTAAATTGAGCGTGAATTTGATTAAATGGTAAATGGAGTATGCTTATATATCTACATCATACGGTTACTGACCAAAAAGCATCACAAAGCCTCACATTCACTTATTTGCAAACTTCATCTATTGAACTGTAGCGTACAATGGGAGGCAGTCACCAACGTTCATTCCACTGGTGGCTGCCTGCTGTTGTTTTAACTTCTAAAACACCCCAAATTTTACTTTGAAGTTTAAAGTGGCTTACTTTAACCAGTATTCTGCTGCACATTTTAGGCACAGGTAGAATCCAATCTAAGTTGGTCAAAATAAAATCCTTCAACCGGCAGGCATCAGCGGCATCCTGAAACTGAGAAGACATTCTCTCTGGAGAAAACGGCTTTCGCTTTGTGCCATATGTGACGGCGTGAGGGAGGGAAACGATAGAGGTTTCATATACTGCCAAGATGGGCTTCATTGACTGTACTGCTGCAGCAGCCTATCCCAGTCTACTGGAAATAAGGTGCCTGGCTTATTGGCGACACATACGTCAATGTTGGTGTGGAAGAGTGCGGCAAATTTCTTGAAGTGATTTTTTTTTTTTTTTTGTGTGTGGCATTGTGTAATGTAGCATGATACTGTATGTCTGTAAACTCTGTCGAGAGTCGAGGACACTGCAGTAGATTGGCACATGGGACAGTCTAAAACTCAACATCAGCGTAAAAAAAAAAAGAAAAACCTGCGCCATACATGTTTTTTAGAATGTGAGAGGAAAGCAGAGTACCCAGAGAAAACCCAAGCAGGGTCAAGGAGAATATGCAAACTCCACACGGGTAGGCCTGAGCCGCAATCAAACCCTGCACCTCTGCACTGTGAAGCAAACGCGGTAACAAGTCAATCACCATGCCGCAGGCCATAAATAATGTCATTCTAAAATCAACATATTGTATTTCCCCTTTTTTATTCACATTCACAATAAATTTTTAATGTAAATGGAATACTTTGAATTAAAAGCCCTGTTCACACGGCACACATTTGGTCCGACGCTGCACCGAAATATTTTGTTGCGATGTATTTTACACCGGAGCAAATTTTGTGCAGCGGTCACACGTGCAAAGCCGCTGAGCGTGACAACTCCGGCGCAGCGTC